CCCCCCCCGAAATTCTAGAAAAAGTGAATTTTCTGTTAGAGCTACAGCCTCTTTGGCAGTTGAAGGCGTGGCAGAGTTCGGAGCCCTGCTCACCACCCACACCTCCGACTTGTGTCAACCGGAGCAGTAAGTGCTCATCAGGACTGAGAGTTAGGCCATGCTTTCTGCACACCTAGCTATCCCGTGCTCCCCAGCTTTTAGGCGAACAGCTCACAAACAACAACTTTAAAGGGCTTAATCAGGCCCCTTGAGGTACATTACATCAGTCACCAGAAAAATGGGGCACCCCGAACCATCAGCGACCGTTTCTTAGATTTTGACGGTGTAGTGCTTCAGCTGGTAAAACGATGGGTGACGAGGTGACTGGTGGAGCCATATTAAGACCCAAAAGCTAGGAACACTGAAGAGAAAGAGAGGGCTTAACTTCAGAGCAATAATAAGAGGTTATATGTAAATTGGAGAAAAGTGAGGAAATTAAACAGAGGACACTTTATAGCGAATTAACAATGAAATCTATTAGACTGGGAAACAGTCTTCAAGGGAAGTGGCATAAACCTTATCACACGAGTAATTTAGAGATAGAAAGAATACTGCAGGGAATTATCCTGCATTGACAGAGGAGGATAAAGATGCTGACCTACTAGTTTTCTTCCATCTCTTAAGTAGATTTGAAAAGTATATTCCTATGAGTCTCTGATAATCAGGACAATTGCTCAAGTGGCACCTTTCTGGCTCCACCAGAGTCTGTGCCAATTAAGAGAATTGTACTGCATAAATTATACCTTTTGATATTACTATAATTTGTGTGACTAAACACTTGACAGAGATGTGATATTCTTAGCCTTTCCTTAATAAAATGTCTCGCACTTTGAAAATTTCTCTTTCCCCTCCACCCCACTTCAGAGCATCACCGGATCCTGATAGGAGGTACCGGCTGCCACTACTTTGAACAACAACCTCTGTCAGAGCACAAGAGAGACAGATATTTGTTGTATAATGGTTCCAGTTATAAAACAAAAACTTGCAAACCAAGATAGCTTGTGAAGCATGTTATATCTAAAAGACAGGACATTCGGAAAATGAAGATTCAATGATTATTATTATTGTTATTGTTATTATATTCTGAGCCTGACCCTAACCTGCTCTGATGTTTTTGTACTTAGGTTTGTGTCATTGCTTGCATGGGTGTACACACACCACTGGTTAAAGTAAATGCTCCTGATAATGCAGCTTGTATCTCTCTTTTTATTGTAGTATTGAAATAACTTGATAATAGAGGAAGAATTAGGATAACATGTTATCTTTCGTGAGTCATCAGCCTATTAGATAAACATGCTTTGTGCTGCAGTGGGCAGCATCCTCCCCCTTCTTTCACCTAGAATCCCCCTTCCCACCAAATGATTTCAGATTAGCAAACAGCCAGACAGCCCAAACGCACTGCGCTGCTTCTGGGAAGGGCACTGCCACCACTACCGCAGCGCACGCGTCTAAATATGCTTCCCTCCTGAGCAAAACAGATCTGCAGAAAGCTCTCGGCATTTTTTTTATTCTCCCTTTTTACATTTTTATGAAATCTGCAAGGTCCAGCTGCAGTTACACATCTCTGCCATCTCTTTATTATCTCTACCAAAGCACCTCAGTCTCATATTGAACTTTTGTCCCTTCCTCACTTCTGTGAAATAACCTTTTGGAGTCTCTCAGCTATGGCCTTCCACTTTTTTGAGTTACTCTACATAATACAGAAGTGACAATGCTTGGCAAGTCCAAAGGTCTCTTGAAGTGCTTTCCAAGCACCTTCAAATCTGTCACAAATAGTTTTATCTCCATTTTACAGATGTAAATATGGGGGCAGAAAAGCTAAGTGACTGCCCTGGGTTCACACACAAATATTGTGTCATAGCTGTCCAGTATCCTGAATCCATCGTGTTTGTTCTTAATTGCGAAGAATCTATTCCTCTCTTTTTATTAATTTTTCCTCATTATTCATAATTCGTTTTGTTAGCTATATTATTTAAATTTATGTGCTCAAAGGAGACTGTCTAATGTTCTGTCATTTAAGGTTTTAGATGCTTCATGCACAACTGAGGGAAGACTGGGTGAATCCCCAAATGTATGTACAACTGTCGCCAAATCTTGAAGACAGTTAAACTTACCATACTCCACTTTCTTTAATTTTTAAGGCCTCCAGACATCTATCTACAATGCTTCTCTCTACAGAAAGAGCACTATTAGTCTCCACAGCCCAGTTTCTTTTTCATGGACCCAGCAAGGATCCAGAAAACAGATAAAAGTCTCCTAGTGAACTCAGCCTACAAGACATTCTCCTTGTGATTCTCGCATACAGAGCAGGACACGGCTTCAACAGAAGAGTACCTCTTCCAACACCTCTGTATAAATCAATGCCCAAGCCCAGTGCCACCTTTTGATTAATTTTTGGGTTAAGCTCTGCTTGACTTGTGCTTTGGATTGCTCTTGTTAATTCCCCAATTAGAAGCATGTCACTCAATTCCAACTTCTCTGCACAATTACTTCAGGAACTTCCATGATGTTTGAATGTTTTTACTGGAGTGCTTATAACCATGGCATAGTGTGAAACATCAGACTCACTGAACGTGAGGTTTCCCGAAGGCCAGCTCCTAGGCAGGTTTGAGTGTGAACGACAGACATGGTCACCAGGAAAAGCACTGGCTCATCATTAAAATAGACGGGGGAGGTTGTTGTAATTTGAACAATGCTTCACTATCATTAGCATCACAAGTACCTAAAATTGATATTCAGTGTCACCCGTTTGAAAGAAACAGTGCCACAACACTGTGTTATGTTATGGGGAAACACTTTCCCCTCTTTAGATCTCTCATATATGTATATACATAGACAGACATATCCATGTACATTTTGTAAGTGCTATACACATACAGATATTCTAGGCACATATACTCTCTGTGTCCATAAAAACATCCACGAAGATTTGGGACTGAAGCCACTGTTGGTACAAGTCCATGGAAGTAATGGTGGCTTAAAACAAGCTGAAATTTGGTAGCAGGTTGTGAATACATCATTAACATTTCAAATGACACATGCAGATAAGTTTGCACGCACATCACCTCAAAATACTTGCTGAGAAAATGTAACCTCTTTGCTTGTAGTCTAGCAAGAAGTGTTAAAAGGAGCGCAACACAAGGGCTCCCACGCAAAGTGAAGAGCTCATAGGTCATTCATTCTTGCGCGGTCTTGATGAAGGGGACATTATCTTGGACTGCTCCAATCTGCCTGGGTTCTTAGTACTTGTGGGAGGGAAGGAGTAGGAAGCCATACTCCGCTCTTGATATTATGACTCTTATAAACCAAGTAACGCACAATGACTGTTTATCAGGAAAGGACATGTAGTGATTTCTTACTTATGACAGGGTAGCTCTCTTACTAAGAGAGCTCATGAGAGGAAATTAAGTTAGCTTTTCATGCACGCCATTTTTAGTGGCTTGCTTTAATACTAATGTAATAATTAGAAAGGAAACTAGCATCTGCCATTTTGGGACCTAATACTTACTTTTCTTAAGTTGTTCTTGAGGTTGTTTGTGTGAAATATGCATGTCCTTGCCAGAAGCAAGACCTGTTTTACACAAGACCCCATGCAACCACTCAACATTGCTACATGGACAATCATTAGCCCCCTTCCTTCCCAACTCCCAACAGTGACAACCAGAGATCACAGAACGAAAAGATTGGGTGAGCAGCCAAGTAACAGTGACAAAAAGGACATCATGCAGAGCATCAGAGTGAGCAAGAGATACTGAGGAGGACATCCATTCCTGGGGGTACATTATGATGGTCATGGACTGGCAATGACCAAATAGATTCCTTGCATTGCAAAAGGAAATGCAAGGAGCAACAGCAGCTAAAAAAAAAGGGAGGGGGAAAATGCAGCTGGACAAATCTCTTCCATTACAGGCAAAGGTGAAGTCATCATAGCAGAAACAATAAAAAAAGAATTCTTCTTCTTCAGGAAAATCTTGACCAAGGCTAAGAACAAGGAAGAATGTTCTAACAACTACCAGCATCTACTTAGCTGGAGATGCCAGGGTTTGTTTAAGATGTCATAGGATAGATGTGCATGCTCTGGTATTACAGGTGACTGACTGCATCATTCTCTTATACTTGCCAATTAAATGCCAAAGACTTGCCTTCATTTTTAAAGTATGTCGCTGTCAAGTCAATTTGGTAATTCCTACAGACATTTTAAAAGGACTGCCTCCGTGGCAAACAACTTTCTTATCACTACATTTCTGAGTGAGGTTTTGTACAGTGGGGTGATATGCCTGTTGTCAGACTCCCTAATGAAAAAGGAGCCTCTCCTACAACCTAAGTAACCCAAATCCCTGGTGACATTTCTTTTACCTTCCATACGCCCTGCAAGAAAAGAGTCTTTGTGCAGGGGCCCAAGGGACTTCACTTTGCAGAACAAACTATGTGAAACTAAAAGACTCCAGAACTGCATAGGTACCATGAATGGAACTAGATCAACTTGACCCCCTTATTTTGTATATAGATTAAAAATAATCATATAATCGTTAAAATTGATAGTTTTTGTGGCATGATTATTGGGGAAGGCTGTCCACCACAGCAATAAATACTCACTGTTTACGGTACCTGCTAGTGCATTAATATTATTCAGTCCAACAGTGGCTCCAGCCAATCCTTGGAGAGTACCCAGAGAAGTCAAAGAATTCATGGCCGCACCAGCTGTGGAATTAGCAGTTGATGCAGCCACTGAAAGGAAAAAAAAGCAAGGCAAAATTAAGGCCATATTTTGCTTATTTTAGTTGATCACAAAACAGCTTACAATAATGCTGAGCTCAACAGGGCTACTTGCAAGAAAAAGAAAAAAAGAAAATGAGACCAATAGACCAACCTTGTTCAAGGTATTACTAGTATGTTTGTTCATGGAAAGTGTTGATAAGCCTTGAACCTCAAAGACTGGATGACAAAATTTAGCATTGTGCTATTACTTGCAAACATAATACAGAAACAGTAAGTATGGGATCAGTCACTTTCTCATATGGGATCAGGCACTTTCTCAAAATTTTGTCAATCAACATAGCATCCCAGGCCGATCAGCTAACCAGGCTATTGAGATTTTGCCACATTCTAAACTCTATCATTGAAAAAAAATAGAATTACTCATTGTAATTTTGTTATACAACAGCTTTCTGTTCTGGGCCCCAAGTACTCTAAAAGAAATTTTAATTATTCTAAATGAGACACTATGCCATTATGACCCTGCTCTAGGACACTGCATAAACATCATTTAAAGCCTTAAAGTTTACAAAAAGAAGAATGACCAGCCAAATAAAGAATGTAACTACTATCCATTTTATTGCAGGCTTTTAGCTTGGCCTTTGTACATAACTAGTCATGCATATGCACCCCATAAATGACACTATATGCATGCCCAAAAGCTCTGCCAGAGGGGAAGCTGAGGCTCAGGTGGAGAAAAGGTCTTTGCTGCTACAATTCCAAGGGAATGATGAAGGTGGATGAGATGAATCCATCTAAACTACATGCTTACGAAGAGAGAGAGACTCATTCTCTTGTCACAGGAAAGTAATATAGCACCTTAGAAAGAGCTATCATTTAGGATAGGCTGGATGAATTAGAAATACATGTCTCTCTCATAAAAGGGCTTTGAATAACTAGTGTAGATTAAATACTTAACTTACAGGTAGGTAAAGCTATACCAGATGAATCACACTCATAAAAGCTGCGGAAGCAATTAGGTTTTTAGCTTGTCTCCTGAGCCCTAACGTATCAATCATAAAGACTTTCTTTTCCTTTAAAAAGTTGCATTATCTTCTGAAAAGTGAACATTTAAAGTCAGTTTTGTTGATGATTTACCAGAGGCACATCATGTCTACACCATGCTTTTTTGCTCCTATTCATTACCTAGCTGTGAAAGATCACTTTTATCTTGATGCTCTTTTGTGTCAAACACATCAGATTACTAAGTGAACCCTTGAGAAAGTGAAGCTTCTACAGTTGGCAGGATCCAGTAAGCAAAAAGTAGGAGGCAACTTTTTCATTCTGTGGGTAAACATCAAAGCTCTAACCTACAAAGAACCCACCTTTACAATCTTAAGACCACTAAAAACAAGCCTTAGCACTCATGGGGCCTCAAAGTACGAAAGACTCTCCTGGTGTGGGTGAGAGAGATTTCCAGACTCCTTGAGGCATTCCTTGTCCCCACTTCCCTAGCATCTGCAATGTTAACTTGAATAATTTTATATCTTGCGGATAGAAGCAACTTTGATTATTCAATCTCTCTCCACAAAGCAATAAGAATCCAATAATGTCTTTGATTAAAAAAAAGTAATCAAAAAACAACTAAAAACCCACTTTTGTCAGATAATGTGGGCACCAACAGAGAAGAGAGAAAAAAATCAAAGTGAATAAATGTTAGTGAATTCCCCGTGACCAACACTGCTCTGTGTTTCTGCTCATGTTCATTAGCAGATCATTTAAATGAAGTATATAAACCTCAAATCTGAAGGATCTGATTGGTTTTGACTAGGCTGAATTCCATCCATTTCTGTTTCAGAGGATTATTACCCTTTTCTCTTGAGGAAACACATATATTTAAGAAATGAGAGAAATGGGGGCTAGGAACTGCCTGAAAATTGCATTAAAGCTCTTGGGGGCAAATAACTCCTGCGAATGAGAGCCATACACTTATGGATTGTCAACACATCTGTTGGAGAAGGCAGAAAATCCTGATTAAATCCTTCTCTCTTGTGCATCCCGCAGAGTGCGTTGTGGTGGCTCTTCTCATAGTCTCACTGCTCAAACACATGCTTCAGGGATGGCCAGTATCTGGGGCCAACATCTCTTTTCTTCTTTTATTCATACCAAGTTTCTCTATTCCATCAGACAAACACAGAGCAGGTGCCTCAGTGGTTCTTCCATTTGAAGTTGCAATGCAGATTATCTAGTTTAGCTAAATAATGACTTGGCATATAATCAATGTAAAATACTAGTTGGAGCACTGAAGCACCTCAGAAATCAGTGTTTTGTTGTTGCGGCTATTTCTTCTGCTTAGTAGTGATCTGTCTCACAAATCCACTGGGACAATGCTTTTTCCTCTTTGGCTTATTATTTCTTTGAGGAGAAAGAAACTGAACAAATTGTGTGGTTTCCATTATCTTATAGAACGTGGGGTGAACGTGGGGAATGACGGGAGCTCCTTTTTTTAGGGCACTTGTAAAGGACAGATCCAGCACCTTGCTGGGTGAGGTTTCCTGAGAGACTCCACACTAGTTATCTCCTTCTCTTTGACTGAGACCTGCACGTATGAAATGAAGACAGTGATGAGCTAAAATACTATTATAAAGAGGCCATAAAAGGTCCAAGATATTGAGAGGTGAAAATTTCTCACAAAATGCTGGATAAAACCACCTGATGAAGCAGTGGTATTCCTTGTCCCCAAAAAACTCAAAGGGAGATGAAACAAAAGTTAAAAGGTCCTACAAGACACATGTGGAGGCTTAAGCCAGCTGAAAGTTTTTACCTCATGTGCTCCCAGAATATGTTGAAATCTGTCTAAAGACAAGGACTATGCTTCTCCTGTCCTTTGCCCTTTTCTAGTTTTTCAACTAAAAAATTGAACATTTTTTACATTTCAACATATATTGAACCAAAGGGAAAAAAGAAAAATCACATGCCTTGTGGTAATGGTAGATGATTGTACTACTTTGGGGGAATCTGTATAACTCTCTTGTGTCAGCAAAGCTCTCGGGCTCCACAACTGCTCAGGGTAATGGCAAAGTAAGTATAATTCACTGTTGGAATAGCGTTATTCTATATTTATGGCTTTTAGTTGTCCAGATGACAAAAATGGATTGGATACCTACCAAATTTATAAATTGTTTTTTACCAGGTTCCCCTGCCACCAAATAAATTAAAACATTTCACAGCTCCCTCCATCCTCTGCACCAGAACATTGCTGCTCTGAATCGAATCACATAAACAGTAGGCATCAGGTACTTAGACAGCTTGATGTACAGAGCTGGAGTGCCACTAGGAATTGCCCTCTTTGTGCTACTGGTGCACCAGCATTTGGTGCAACAGTCAGGAAATTCAAAACACACAAAAAATGTGCAAACGACTTGGTTTTCTGGTGTCACTGTATGGCACACCCTCTATCCACAATATTTGGTGCATTATTTTTCTCTTTTGTGCTGGTTTTGGCTGGGATAGAGTTTTTTTTTTTTTTCATAGTAGGTAGTATGGGGCTACCAGCTGGGGTTAAACCATTATATCTTTATACTGGGAATTTTATCTTTGCCTCCTTAAAACCTACATATGTCAGGGACTCAGTATGTTTCTGGGGCAGCATTAAGCGAGTTAGCTAATACTGAAGCTAGGGGGAGAGATTCAGCAGACTGGAGCTCCAGCCTGGTGAATGCTGGCTGAATACACAATAGTTGGTGAAGAACAGAGCTGCTTTTTACCAGCTGCACTGATCATTCCCTCACAATGTTAAGCCCTGGATAAACATCAGAACATGATAGATAAGATTTTGTCTACTCAAAGGAACTTTTTCCTCTCTAACATCAGTCATTGGAATAAGCCGACAACTTTCTCAAAGAGGCTGTTGCTCAATCAGAGACTACTGGCAGGAGTTACGGGGTTGAATCCTTTGGCTGTTGTTGCAAGAGTTCAGACAAGATGTTCTTCATATTCCCCACTGACCTTAAAAATCTATTAATACATGAAAATAATATCAGAGCATTGGATAAAGAGGTCAGTTTAGACTTGTAAGAGTAGAGAGTTGTCCTGTGACCTGTAGAAAAACCTGCTCTGTTTCCTGGAGATATGCTGCATGCTGGTCACCTGTCGCCTTCTCCATCCAGGCCACATACCGAGACTTTACAGAACACTTTAGCATCTTCAACCATAAAAGGTGAGAAGGTTAAAAATGTTTATTTTGCTATTAGAGACCTTACTGTTTCTTCTTCTTTGACCCCCCTATTCCCAAATTTCTGTCAATCTCACAGCCTTCCTCTTTTCTTCCAAACTCAACTCTGCTTTAATAAACATCCAGAAACCTTCAAATAATACAAATAATATTATTAAGAAGCTGTGAAATGGAGAAGGGCATGGCTGCAGCCTTCCCCCAACACACCCCCAAATGACTCCCAACCCCAGCTATTTGATCTTACTGTGCTTCTCCATTTAATTGATGAACATTTTGCTATCAACTTCATTATGAATAAAGAAACTTGGCCTTTGGTTAATATATTCTTTAACAGAGCTCTCTTTGATACAGAGAACACATTTTCATTTGGAGTGGATGCTCTAGACAGTATAGATATTTGTGTTTAACTAGCAATGTTGCATTCATAGAGATTTTTAAGGCTGGAAGGAGCTGGCATTTTCAGCTCTTCTCCTCAACACATTTATTTCTGCCTGTAAAAGGTTATAGCACCTTTTAGGTCAGAGATTTTTTTTTATAGAAATCTAAACTAGCAATGAGCCATTTCCCCTTTAATTTAAATAACATTTCAACACAACTCCCCAAAACTATGCCAACCTAGAAGAACAACCAGTATTAGCATAGAAACTTTTGGCCATTCTTTTGGCTAGCTTATGTCCATAGAGTCATGATGATTTACATCATCTGGATTTATATCAGCTGGAAAACTAGATTCAGGACAACAACATCTAGGAAAGGCAATGATGTGTAAATATTTCTTTGGCTTTGCTGTGCACACTGT